TTAGTAGTTTTCAAGACTACCGCCTTCAACCGCTCGGCCACACCTCCTAGTTAATAAAATAAGTTTTAGCAAACAACTCAGAAATTAAATTACTAATCAAAAATTGGCAGGAATTACGAAGAAAAGGAGACTACCAGCAGGCGGACAAGGTTCGAAAGAAGTTGCAAGAAATGGATATTATTTAATTTATAAACATCTTAACAACTATTATACCTACTCATCATTCTTTCAAAATTATTTTTTCTTATTCATTCTAGCAAGCCATCAAGTAAATTAGGCATTATTTTCCTTATTTCTTCTCTTTCCGATTGGGAAAAGTTCCGTAAAACTCAGTCCCTAATAAGAAAGTTTCGGTCATAGTCAATGCCAACTCGCAACCTTTTAAAATCCTTACTTCCTATTAATTTGATGATATTTTTCATTCCATTGTGTCCTCCGTGCGAGCCTTGACCGCGATAACGAAATTTCCCTAAGGGCAAAGCAATATCATCGTAAATTACCAGCAAGTTATCCAAAGGGATACGAAAGTAGTTCAAAAAGGCCACAATGCATTCTCCCGAATTATTCATATAAGTTTGGGGTTTGAGGAGAACATATTCACTGGTTTGACAATATAAACCATTAAATTTTTTTTTGTTTAGTTCGACGTTTAATTTATTGGCTAACTGGTCGATAATTATAAACCCTAAATTATGCCGAGTATTTTCATATTCTTTGCCCGGGTTACCAAGGCCAACAATTAATTTCATAATAAAACCCAACTTCTTCTATCTTTTTTTGGAAAAGAGAAAGGAGTTAAATATTTTTTAACTTTGCCAACAAAAATTAACGTGGCGTACTTGGCTTGGGAACTCTTTTCTCAAAAATGTTGCTCGGCTTTCGAGCATATCTCTTTGCTATATTTTTCCTTTATCTCTTGCAATTTTGTTGGATTAAGTTTTTCGAATTCAAGCACATTTTTAACCGTAAATTCACCAAGCACATTACCTCCGGATTTTTTCATTAATACCACCTCCCCAACCTTTATCCGACCATAAGGGGCTATTTTTTTCTGAGAAAAACGGCTTTCAATCGTTTTCTTCCTCGCTAAAATAAGTTCTAAAAAAGGTGGCTGAAAAATGGCTAAATGTTTTTTTTTCTTCATTTTGCTTTTTTTATTTTAATAGTTAAATTTTAACTTTGCAAAGCAGGGTCGGTCTTTAATAATTCCAAGGCTTCGGATTTGTTTTTAAAATTAGCAGAAGCCATATGTAACATAATATTTTCATTTCACACTAATTTATTTGCGTTTACATTTCAACTAAAATACTGTTGGTCATCCTCTACCTTACTTTTATCAAATAAAATGTATCAGTTTGAATAATTTTTTATTTTATCGTCTAATTTGTCTCCATTTCATTCTGGGTCTATTTGTTGAATGGTTTTTAAAAATCGGATAAACTTTTTTGTTAATCTTCCGTGAGTTAGATCTAATTTTCTGGTCGTTTTTTCTTCCAAAGAAACAGTTAATTCTGTCAGATGAGTAGACAAAAGAGGAGAAACAAAGCGGGAATTAGTGGCTCCGGTATCGTTCTCTTTCATTGTCTTTAATTCTCCTAAACTAAATACAAAATATTTTTCTAACTCTAACCTTCGGCTAAAATCCTCCAACAAACATTTTTCTAATTCTTGGTCGCTTAACTGATTTAAAGGTTTTTTAGTGGGAGATTGAGAATTATCAGAACTTTTTGTCCCCTCTTTTTGGCTTCATTTTCAAACAATAATTCCCCCTCCCACTAGTAAAACAATTAAAATTAACAAAATTATTATGTTCTTTTTTTTCATACTGCTTCCTCTATATTAATTTTTGAGTTTCTTTCACTTGCCAATAATTTTTCTAAGGTCAATTCTCTCATTCTGATTTCACACACTCAAATCGGGGTTGAACTAGGAGGTAAATCTTTTTTGATGGTAATATTCACAATGGGCGATTTTGCAACAATTACTATTTTCGGACAACCCTTATTATAATTTAATTTTTTAGGTAGCAACTTTATGCCAAAGCCTTTTAAAATTAATAATAGGCTGTAATTTGATTTTTTCTTTTCTACTGTTTAGAAATGTTGGGTTGTTTGCTAAAACTTATTTTATTAACTAGGAGGTGTGGCCGAGCGGTTGAAGGCGGTAGTCTTGAAAACTACTAA